ACACACAGAAACACAGCCACATCCATATCTATAAAATGCTTATGATTTAAATGGGGGGGTGGGGAGTCTTCAACAAAGTTACTGCTTACTGTGATCTTTCCCTTGTCCTGGAGAAGTGCAAACACTTGCTTGGGGAGTCACAGGCATGAGGGCTTGGCGAATTGCTTTCTCCCAGCTCTGTGCTACATCAAGTCCAACTCCAGTGGCAGCAAGAGCTGGATTATGAGCGCTGTCTCCATTGTTCTCACCCACAAAGTATACCATCGTATCAGTGATGATCTCAAAACAGTGCGGGTTGCTGCCTTGTGAAATGTTTGTGAAGTCATGTGGTGAAGAAATACGAAGAATTTCTGAAAGTGGGATTTCCTGAAACATATTAAGCATTGGAAAATGATTACATGAGATACATTTTCTAGTGTAAAGATAACACATTTCTAACAGATATCACTAACCCCAACACACATGTATGCCCAGTGTGAAGCACACGGAATATAGTCATATAATACCACGGTATGTGCTTTATATCATTCATACTACCAGCAATGCTGGAGACAGAGCAGGACAGACAACGGCTACAGCAGTGACTCAGGCCTGGAGCAGGCTGGGAGAGTGTGAGCAAGAGGAGTTAGAAAGACAATCAGCCACTACATTCAGCAGCTGTCATTTTCTAATTGTCCTAAACAACTACTTCTCTAATCCCGTAGTCTGCAAAATACAGCCCCTAAGGAGTGGAAGCCCAGGAATAATGGCAGCAAAAGCAAAAAAAAGGACTCAGTGGAGGCAGCCTGAGCTCTCTCTTATGGTTCTGCCCATTGAGGGAAAGCTTATGATGATTTATGTTTAGACATTTAGCTGACTTCGTAAACCAAGAAACTGACTTTAAAGAAATGAGGAAGGGGAAGGAACCCCCACATAAAAAGATGTCCCAACTTAAACAAAGTCATCAGTTTGTATTCTCTGTCTAACTGACCCAACAGCTACATTTACAATCTTGCTTGGTATCTGGCTGCCTGAATCATTGGAAACCATGAGGTAAGGCAATAAAAAAGGATAGTACAAAGAGAAGCCAAAATAAGCACCCAGGAATGGACTCGAAATTAGGAGAAGCACTGACTACAACATTGTTTTTTGGATGGATGGCAGTGATCACAGAACCTTGTAAACAGTCAAATCTTAATCAAAGATCTACAGGGAAACCACAGGTTGGACAAAACCAAGCAATGACCAACCAACTTTTGGAAGCAGGGCTGCTATGGAAGGTAAGGAAGGGTGAGGAAGGGTGCCTCGATAAAAAAAAAATCCAATAGTGACAGCAGGAATGATGTTGTTGTTAAGTGCCGTCAAGTCGCAGGCGACTCATAGCGACCCTATTAAGGAGAGTCCTCGACGCTTGGGTGCCTTTCATCCTCTCTCCAGGTTCATAGAGTTTCCGGAGGCAAGCTATTATGGAAGTGGATGCCACTCCTCCTTCCAAGGAAACTATATTAGCGTGCCATAATAAGAATTCTGAAAAAGAATAATTTATCGTTGATAGAGTTGAAAAATACAGTCTTTTTATATACACACTCTTAAAACGGAACTTCTTACCTTATAATACTTTGATCCAGAGTCATTTTGAAACAGTGTTAGACATTTACTGTCAAGTCTCCAGTAATGCCTCTTTCTCTATAAAACAAAAAGATTCTGTGAAGTTAAAAAAAAAAGTAACAGTTCCCCTGTTACCAATTCTACATAAATTATTTCAGAAAATAGAAGAAGATGGAACCCTCCCAGATTCATTCTATGAAGCAAACACATCTTTGATACCAAAGCCAGGAAAAGACACCACCAAAATAGAAAACTATAGGCCAATATCTCTCATGAATATTGATGCAAAAAT